TCAGTCTTGGTTCCTTTATGTTCCAGTATTTGTTTGTTACAAATAAGATGTGCATTTGAAAAGCATTTGTCCATTTGTCCAATACATTTATTTACTGGCTCGTATAAAACACAACTCCATGTTAGTATAGCTTTGGAATTACACAGTTTATTCTTATTTGGGGGATCTGGAAATCTGAAGGTGGCTTTGTTCTTGTGTTGGGTTTTTGTGTTTGTCCTTGTTGTTGTCCCCCATCCCCACCCTCAACCTCCCATCCCCAAGTGTGCTGACCCAGTTTCAGTAATCTATCTGTTAGGTATTACACAAATGGGGCAGAGGGAGAAGCATTGAGATGCTCTGTAAACTTTTAAGCAACGTGTTAGAAATCAAAGTGACTGAATAAAAACCTGTTACCCAACTTGTGAAAGCATGTATTAGCTACATGGGGCTCGAAAGAGGATTTGTTGCTGTTGGAATATTCTCTTCTCCAGTGAGCATCAGGAGTTCTCTCCAGGTTGTGTATAGTTCAGGAGACAGCAGTGGTAGAACCTGGAATTCTTGTGAGAGTTTTCCATTAATTTGTAGTCTTAGCAGTATATTTATAATACGTTCTGCTCATAACAACAGTGATTCAGAGCCATATTTGATGGTTTCCTAATACTTGGAAGTAGAAACACAGTATGAGGGTTTGAGATTAGTTTAACATGCCCCTAAACACTATACCTTATGCACAAAACCAGAAAAACCACTTTAGAATGAAATATTAATGCTATGACCTTAGCATGAAAATACAGCAAAACAGTTGCCACATTTGCTGATACATAAGAAACATAGCAGTAGCAATAGATGAATAGCTTCTTATGAGAAGGTAGTCTTAAATTTATCAATTGCTAGCCTTTCCCCTTCAGTTTTTTCCTGTCTTTGGAGAGGCAAAGTGTTTCCTTTGGGAGGGGTGGGAAGGGGGGCATGTCTGCCTGTTTGTATGTCTTACAAGCAGGTTCATAGAATCACAGAATTGTTTGGGTTGGAAGAGACCTTAAAGGTCACTTAGTTCCAACCCCCTTCCTTAGGGGAACACCTTCCACTAGACCAGGTTGCTCCAACCTGGCCTTGAACACTTCCTTTTATTCTTCAGGAAATTGCAGTAATACAAACTCTAGTGATTTGGTTTAAGTTGACATAGGGTTTTCAGAGCAAGAGAAAAATCCACGTGTAGTCTGGATTCAGTCCAAAGCATCTTTACCTCCGAACTGGTTTAGGCCAGAGAGACAGGATGTTCCACAGAGCAAAAAACCATGTGATTAAAGAGCATGAACAAACACAGAGTATATTATTAACAAAACATCAGACTGCATTTCATGTTGGGTTTTCTGGCTGGTGACCCAGGGAGTTGACTCAAAAAGTTAACAGACAAAGGTCCGGTCTCTTCTAACTAATAATCACAAAAGACTCCCTGAAGCTGTTCACAGTGGTACAAATACACCAGAGTGAGACTGTGCTCGGGAGTGTGTGCTGAGAGAATGTTACAGCATCTGCTGTGGAGGGGTTTTATCTTGATTCACCATTCTGTACGTGTCTAGCAATTAGGCTCCCTATTACCTCCAGGCTCCTCATGCTGTCGACAGCATCTTTCGTTTCTCCCTGCGTTCTGACTCACAGGTCTGTCAGTGCCATTCGGTCTGTCCCACCTTGTGGCTCCTTCCATTTTCAGGATGTGGCTGATACCTCCACATCCTGATCAGCAGCTGTCTAGGCCATGATCTGTATGGGCAAACTATGAATCACTCTGCTTTGTGGCGAGGATACATGTAGTTGAGGCATGAGGTGAAGTGTATACGGTGCTTGGAGACTTGCGGAATACTTGACACAGCTGACAAGAAATTTTGGTCATTAGATGAAGTACCTTTGGTTGGTCTTGTGCATGGAAGAGAACTGGAAAAAATTAACCCTTTTGTGGCTGTTGATAGCGTTGGGAGACTCTGCTCCTGGGAATTTGCATGCCTTTGACTCCAAAAGACATGATGAGATCTGTGAATCATCACCATGCAAAAGCTTCTTCAGGAAATTCAATCAAAAAGTGTTCGAACTGCTGTGTCCCATCCTGTCCGTGTGTGTCCCTTTTCCTAGGAGGCTCTACTGCTCTCCTCCTCTGTTAGCAGAGGGCTGAGGTGCCAGTGAACATGTGAGACTCTGGTGTCTTACAGAAACTGCTTCCTGCTCTGTGGGCAATGTGTGGGGATCCCTGAAATCAGGCACTGAAGGTACCTTTGTTACAAATGGACCTACATATTCCGGGTTTTCCTTTTAAGGGCTTCAAAAATGCCGTCAGTTTTGCCATTGGTGTTTAACGCTTTTAGCTGTAGTTTAACTCCTCTTTAGTGTTGCGGGCTCATCGTATTTAACATGCATTTTAGCCAGGAGGGAACAGAGCGTTTGGTGCTCTGGAAGCAGTGGGTGTCCATCCGCGACAGGAAACGCGTTTCTGGTGAAGATGACTGCTTTTCCTGGACTGCCCACAGCATCCCTGTGGAACATGTCTCCTCCCTCACAGAGATGCCAGCTGCCTTCCCTTCCTGTGCCGTTCCTGCTGTTAGTCAGCAGATGCACTCCACTCCTCCGGATCCAAAGCAGAAGCTGTTTTCGCTAACGCTTCCTCTTCCTCGCTCTTTGTTAACGAACTCTCCTTTGTTATTGCTGAACCTCAGTTTCCCGAGGCACCGGGCACGGGGCTGCTCCGAGCGCAGAGGGAGGTGCCGTGGAGCAGCACGTACCGGAGCTGCCAGGGGAGGCCCTGGGGCGCTGCCCGGAGCCGGGGGCGAAGCGTGAGTCAGAGCCCGCGGAACCGGGCGGGCCGGGGCGGCAGCGCCCTTGGCCTGCGCCACTCCCCGCAGCGGGCGCGCGGCTGCGGCCGGGGGAACGCTCCGGCTCGCCAGCCCGTTCCGAAAGCGAACATCTGCATTTCATCAGCACCTTGCATTTTCTCTCTCAGAAATGCCATTCGGTTGCAGGTAATTGGTAGTGCTTCGGTTTCCTGTGGCTTTTCACCTATTCATTTGTGTTGGGTCAGCTCAGCTGCTTTATAAACATGGAAATGGGCTTGAAATCTGATGAGCTGGCAACACAAAAGAAAAGCTACAGTGCAGTTAGAGCTCAAAGGCCAGAACTGGTGGGCTTCCTAGCAAGCTCCAGTTCAGGTTTGTATGTAATGGTGAAATTAGAACAGCGCTTCTTTCACACTCGGTTGGAGAAATCATTCCTAGGTACTGCAAACAGTTAAAGCACACCATTATTCACTGCCTGTGGTCTTCAAAAAAGACAAATCTATAGGAATCCTGTAGCACTTGAGAGGAAAGAGTGGTACCAATAAAGTCAGATGGCATAGAAACTGTTTCGTGTGTCCTTGGAATGAAAAGGCACTGAAGTTTCGCAACAAAATGGCAAACAAGGTAGTACTGTGACCTGTTTTCTAACCCAGGGACAAGATTAAATTTGAACTGGTGATGGGTATCAGAATATTTGCCTAAGCAAACACGGTAAAAGTTATGTTAAGCCTTTTGGAATGTTCACCTACTTCTGCATGATTTGCATGATAAAATCTCAAAGAATGGAATAGAAACACTTTTCATATGTAAAGTACCAATTATCAGGTTCTTCCAGATGGTTCTATCTTTATACTGAAATATTCTGCAGATTTTTTCTCTAAGTTAGGTGGAGTAATAAGGCAAATTTACCATCTCAAATGCGGTTTTCTGATTGTGTCCCAAATACATTAAGCTATGATTGTGTTTCCTTAATCCAAAAGTTTTGAAATTAAAATTGCTTCTCTGTGGGGTTCTGTCACTATTGATGTCACAGCTTTGTTTACTAGCAGAGAAGTTGTAATCAAAGGCCATACATTACAGGCTTTTGTCTCTTCATCTGTCCTTGCACGATCCACCAAGTTCTTTATGACTCTTAAGAATACTTCTGGTTTTTAGTAAACAGTTTTCCATGGGGCAGACTGAGAGATATGTAAGCTGTTTCTTGGCTATTGTCTCCAAATACTTGAGAGATTATTTTGTCCCAGTACCCTACTGCACTGGTACTGAACCGTTTTATAGCCCAGCATCCTCCCAGCTCCATGCTCATCCATGAACAAAACTCTGCCACCTTTGGCATAGGTGCTCCGTGGAGCATCTTTGACCCAATGCAGAACCCTGTGCAGTTCTTACTAAGGTATTCAGTGAAATCGTTGATGCCTGAGGCTTCGTGAGCAGCTGAGCAGTGTGGTGAGGGTGTGATGGGTGGTCTGCCAGGTCCTGCCTACGTGGCAGCTGCTTGTTTTTGGAATGCCCTCCTTCCGCAAAAAGGGAGTTCCTTCTCCCACTGTTGGACTGGTAGTGAGCTCTTAGTCCTGGATCATCCCGTTTATTCCTTCTAGAGATCAGCTTTCTCTCTGACCTATGGAGCTTACTTATTTTTCCATGATTTGCAGAAACTTGGTGTCAGCAATCAGATCTTCAGACATCGTGTAGGGCTCTGGGGTGCTATTTAAATACCAGTCTGAGTTGTTGGGTTTAAGTTATGATACACATTGTCTTGCAGTCCAGAGCAGAACTAACTAGGAGAAGTATCTACCTTTTCTGTATTACTGTTGGCAGATGTTACCTTATGACTGCAGTAATAGACAATCTGATTATTACAGATGTTTTAGATTTGCTTGTATCCTAATGTGTTTAAACACTTATGATAGTCTTTGCTGGAAGGTGGGTTTTGGTTTTGGGTTTTTTTCCCCTTCCTCACTGCCTCTTATTTCCGTTATCTGTTTCCCAAGCTGGTTATGTGTCATGTATAGTTGCTGCTATTTTTAGCTCCTTTCTGGCTTCCATTAATCTTGAATTTTCAAGATTGTCAATACCACATTTGGGCCAAGTGTTTTCTGATGAGATCCCCCTCTTTTGAACTGCCTCGATTTATAGGATTCAACCAAGAAAAGTTGTATTTTAAATAGAATTTTTGATTGCCAGAGATGCACCTTTTCCTGCCACAAGTAGAGCCGGCAGCCCAAGGTTTGGCTACAAACCTACTTTGTTTCTTGTTTTTCAGGTCAAAGTAGCATCCAGTCAGACTTTGCATGGCATGAGGCAGAAACAGGATTTTCTAGCACGGTGAGTACTTTCAGAATCAACAGGCTGATGATTTCTAATGACCAAGAATTCAGGAGACTCTGTATCCTAAATAAAAGCAAAAGGAGGTCAGTAATCATTCACCAGATTCTGTTTCACCTCTGTTTTATAGGTGGCTTTAGGGAGGAATTTAGGAAGGGAGCATGACTTAATGTGAGTGCTCGTGATGATCACAAGGAGCACTACCATGGGGAAGTTCATAAATGGAGTTTTGAAGGAACTGTTTAAAATTCTAATCTAGGTAAGGATTTAAAGAGAGCATTCATGAGAAGACCTTAACTAGAGATCATGTAGCAAAGGTTTTTTCCTTTAGCACTCACTGTCTTTGACTTCAGTTGGAAACTCTTTTCAAGCCTCCCTCTTTTCTGCTTCCACAGCCATACGCAGATCAGAAGTGTCTCCTCTACCAGTTTTTAGTTTGCTGCTTTTCCAGGCCATTTGCATTGAATGGTTCCAGGCAAAGCTAGGAAAGCCCTTGCAAGGTCACAGATTTCCTCTACTTCATCTCCTTGGCCCAAGGCAGGATCTAATAACCCTAGCCTGCTTTCAAGCATCCCAGCAGATGCTCTTAAAAGCCTCCAGTGATACGGACTCTCCCTAAGCAATTAAAAATTCTTTTTAATAGATTTTTTTTGCCCCCTGTCTAACTTATAAATAATAAATAAATAAAGTAACACAGTTTAATTAATTGTACAGGGGTACTCAGGCTTTGACATGGGCAGCAGAAGGGAGAGTGCTGTGAACTTGACCGTAGCTTCATTTTGAGTTCCGGTGTGACCCACCAGATGAAAGAGGGCACTATTAAGGTATGTGTAGTTTGCTGCAATAATGCCCCTCCTGCTCACCTCTTGACCTCTTGATTTGCTTTAAGGTTCTCATTTATTCTGACATGTTTTTCTGCTCATTGCTCATGTTGGCGCAATGAATGAAAATGTATTTCCTGTCTCCAGTGAGGATTGTTGGTAAAACTGGCGTTACAAAAATACAGATGGGGGAGAGACAGGAAAGGAACTAAACTAGACCCAGACAATACACAGATATGTGGTGTGCAGATTAGGGTCGTATTTCACAGCAGGGTTGCCATATGCCTTGGAAGGAGAAATGCCTTAAAAGACACACAGAGAAAGTGTATTTACTAATACTGTTTAAGCCCCCAAGGCAGCAGTGTGAGTTGGAAGCCCTTGGTTGGTTATCTGTTTTAGCAGCCCTTGATGTGTGTCTTATTCAGGAATTCAACAGTGAATGCCTGTTATTTTGTCCAGATTCTGGGTACTGTCCATTTGGTACTTTCAGTGTAGCCTGGGATCACTGTGATCCAAATATAGGAGTCTGGGAAAGCCACTATCCAGAAAAAGCTTCCAGTCACTTTCAAGCTGTGAGGGAAAGAAGGCAGGTGCCAGTACACGTGCAGAGGATGGGATGAGTGAGTCAGGTTTTCTGGTCATGGATTGGATCAGTGGTGGTGAATTTATGGGTGGGCAGAGGCAGGCACCCTGGTGCAGAGTGCAGGGCAAGAACCATTTAGAACTGAACTGTGTCTCATATTTATTCAGGGCCAGGCCGTTCCTACACAGTAGGCAGTCTGTTATGTTACAAATACAGATTTCTCTGGTAGCCACATGTTCTTTTGATTTCTTTGAATGCTATGATACAACCAGTTTCTTGTGATCTAGGTGCCGGAAGTACACTCAAAAGTTGCTTCTGCAGCAGAAGTAATTACTTTCTCATTAAGTCTAAACAATTAGTTATAAAGTCCATCAAGTTGTACCTACCTACAGGCCATGTTCATTGTGACTGAACCCCTCTGTGCTGTGGTCTGTTGATGCAGAAGTGCCACATCCACAGGCTCACTCTGCCCCAGGATGATCAGCAAGTGCCACTTTAATGGCATCTTTTCCACTTACTTCTTGTCAAAAGGAAAGCAATAGTATAATGTTCAGTGATGCAGCAGATGTTTCCTTATCAATGAGGAGATTATCCTGTTAGCTAAATTAGGCATATTGTAGAATTTCACAATTCCGAAAAGAAATACCTGAGCTGAGTTTGAATCAGCTAAGAAAGTCTTGGGACTAAACCATGTAGTGGATCCTATGATCCTATATGCTGACTTTTGACCAGAGTTTTATGGTCTTTTATGCGTCTGATTCCTGTTCTGTCCCTAAAAGAGTAGTGCAAGGAGCAGATCAGGAGAAAAAATACAATTGGGTGATGCATTTGATTTGCTACAGAGGTATCATTTACCTTTGCATTGCTTGCTTGCCTCCTGTCTTCTGATTTACTGTGACCTGCAAGGGAACATTCTTCTACCACAGCCAAGACATTCAGGTGGAGCTAATTGAGCAATTAAATTATCAGGTGATGGAAGTAAAAATCTCATCCACAGTGGAGGGATTTAGCAATCAGACTCCTTTTAGTTTATGACTTACTGTTATGTAATGTGTGTGTTGCTACATAGATGCACGCTGTGCAAAACAAAGGTAAGCAGCTCTTCTGACATACACTTTGGTTGACGTGGGGGTCACGACTCCTGTCAACTGGCCACAGAAGAAGGGGACAGTTGAGGTTTATGAGAATAAACTGTGAGTGTGGACAGTCCGTGTAATAAAAGTTCCCTTCCCAATTCCTCATTTCTTGGAAATATGCCAGGAGTTTGTAGTTCTGGCTGAGCTAAAAACACATGAAAACCCCTTTGTTTCAAGTCACGTGCATTTCACCTCCAAGTATGCATGAAGGAGTGTGCAGAGCTGGGGAGTGTCTCAAGTGCTGGTGGGTTTAGACAGAATTGCAAAGGAACCCAGATTCCATTTTGGTGAAGAACAAACACAACAATGATCTGGCTGAAGACCATTTGGTGAGGTATGTATTTTCTGAGAGCATCCTGGAGATGTGACTTCTGTCTATGCCCGTGGTCCGATGGCAATTCTGGGAATGATGTATGTAATAAAAGCACATCAGAATTCTAGCTCCCTCTTCCTGTACAGAACTACTACTACAGAAATTGTTGTTTTGGCTGCAAGATCAGTGATGGTAAAAAACACACCTGTCCACAGCAATGCTGTTGTTATTGAACAGGTAGAGGACAGGACGTTAGAAATGCTGTTGCAATACAGGGAAACCTGAAACCCTAGAATGGAGGCTGAAAAAGATGCAGCATGATCATGGGAACAAACTTACACAGTCGAGTTAGACCCGGGTGTAATGGATAAAATGCTGCTGTTGGCTATATCCGCTTTGCTCCCATGCAGGAGTTGTGTGTGTTGATCTGATCACATAATCCCAAACCGTATTAGAACAGAAGAGTGGAGAGAGAGAGGGAGTGTCTTTTTTGGCTTGGTGGAAAGGTGTGATCTTAAATTAAAGGGACATTGCAAAAGGTCATGAACGTTGACACTGCAGGTTAAAATAGGCTGTTTCCTTAGTTTTTATTGGCAGCATGAAGGTCTTAAAGGAGTGTACATCTTTCTGCCCTATTGACATTTTCAAGGGAAGGTAATTCTGAGCGGATGTCCAGACTCACTGTGGTCCAGTATTCCTTAAATCTAAGGGAGAGATTAGCCCTGGTCATCAGTTTTGTTGGGAAGAATGCATAGTATGCATGAAGTTCCTAGGATCAATATTATAATAAGACTGTGTGGTCCTGTATGGGTGATCTGGATGTCCAAGCTTTGTTGTTACTATTATCCATGGGAAGTAAAGGGCAGGGCCTGTCTGAGGTTCATGGACTAAATTGGGTGGCAGGAGAATATGATCTCTTTGAATGAATTGATTTGAGGTTATCATGTCCTTCTCTCCGACTTAAGAAGGAGGGGTTTTTTGACTTTGCAAGAGATGGTAAATTGACTTAGTGTGGAGTGGATGTGATTTGGTTCTCTCTACTGTCTTTGGAAAGAGGTGGGTTAGTGCAGAACTCTCCCTTACAGCTGTGAAGGACCATTAGTCTGAGCTCTCATATAGCAAAACCACCTTCCACCCATATTCTCTCTTCCTTCAGTGATCTCCATTTAACTAATGCATGTGTTCCACAGGACCGTGCATGCCTACTGCTTCCTTTGGTACTTTATTGTAATTGTTGATCTCTTCTGACCGTGAAAACCGTGTATTTTACTTGTAATTTGCATTTGTTTGACTTTAGTTTGCAGCCCTTGGTTGGACCAGCTGCTTTAGAAGCCTTTGCTCTGTGTCTGATTCAGGAATTCAACAGTGTAATTCTTTAATTAGATTATTGCAAAATGTTTTCCAGCTTGTAAATGATTTCTGCTATTCTTCACCCCGAGGTTTTCAACACTATCTTTCAGTTGTGGACCCCAGAGCTAGATTCAGGCTCCAGTCTCATTTTCGTCTGTACCAGACCTAGAAGGAAAAATACTCCCTGCTGCTTTAGGTATTCCAGGGCTGTGGTCAGACCTCTGTGTGGCTCAGCCTCAGCAGACAGGAACCAAGTATTCATTTTCTGATTCCTACATGTTTGGTCTTCAGACCTAAAGCTGACCTAGAAGTTGCACTAAACTTTCAGAGTCAAAGCTATGGATTCTTGGCAAGCTCTGCTAGTCCTACACCTGAAGAGCTGATAATATTACTGAGAAAGTGACTGTATACTTGCAGAAATCACTTCTCATGGGAGAAAAAAGAAAGTAGAGAAGTTAGACTAACAGCAAGTCTGGTTTTATTCTACCAGGCAGGAGATAAATTAGATTACTTTGAGGCCTGACCTCTAATTTTGTATCCAAAGGTCATGGCTGCTCTTGGAGAGATCAATTAATATGTCAGTGTATTGGGCTCAATGCAGAGATGCCATCCAGCGTACAGGGAATCTTTGCGTACTGTGTGTTTGCCCTAGCAGATAGTTAATCTGGGTTACTGCTTACTACCTGTTCCATTCCTCTTGCTCAAGAGCATTAGCAAATGTTTGTTTGACAGAACGTTCTGTTCGTCTCCCCCCTCCTTCCCTGCCTCTTCTTTTTCTTTTTTCCTCTCTTCTCCCCTAAGAAAATGCAGGCTAATTCCAGAGGAACTCCAGGCTGCAAACATCGTGTTACAGGCTGGACTCTGGTCAGAGGAGTTTCCTTACTGCTGAAGGAGGAGAGTAGAAAATGTCTTGAGAATGATCGGCCAAAAAGGGAAAAGTCCTTTAACCAAATGGTAAGAAATCAGAAGAAAGGAGATTCTTCCAGCGCTTTGACTTACCTGAAAACACTCAGCGAATTGAGTACCAAGGCAAATTGTTTATTTAGAAATGTAGAA